CCATCTTAAAGCTGTAGTCATGATGACATCCACACATATAAAGAAGCATTAAAAAAATGGAATTTTAGCAACTACATCACCAAAACGTCTGCTGAAAAATACAGATTTTTTTTTTCTCTGTTCATTACACAATTCTCCCTCCACTCCAAAATGTTTCCTTGTACCATAGAAATTTAATCCATCAGTTAAATCAAGTCACTGTTACTTTTTTTTTTTAAATTACTTTTTTAAAATTTTAGTTAAATATTAAGATCTTATAATATTATGCATAAAATACTCATTTACTTGATCAATTTAAAAATTAAGATGAAATTAAGACCCGACAATATCATTAATCATGTAAGTTTTTCTGAGTATTAAGGCAAGACCAAGTGGCAACCTGTCACCACAGAACTGCCAGAAACTGCAATTCCTTGACTGTCCACTGGAGGCTGGCTCTAAAAATGAGTCAGTACATAATTATCCTATTTTAAAATGCCCAACTTTACAGCAAAAATAAATATGTTTAAAGTCTGGTACAAAGAACAGTTCTGGCCTCAATAAATATTTTTCCTATTTATGACAACTGTACACGGGTGAATTTTACGTAACTTCCCCATTCAAATTGTATTAAAGGGTTCAATAGAGCATTCAATATTTTTTATTTTTCAATTTACCCGACACATTAAATATTACTACCCTACGATATTATACTAAAATACTAATTTATTTGACTGATTTAAATATTAAGATTAGGACCCCACAGTAATATATATTAATATAATTTGAAGACCCTACAATACTGTCTATTATATCAATTTATCTGACTAATTTAATTTTAAGTCAGGTACAACTAAAATTAAAAAGTCCTAAAGAATCCTAATTTTCTGGCTTTTCATACGGTATCAGCATTAAGGCACCATCTTGGACTATGACTTCCTGTACTCCATCCATAATTCCAGTAGATCAAATTTTAGTAGCTGACCCTGCAGTAGAATCCAGATTTAATTAGATTTACTTACATGTATTTTCCATATTCATGCACTGATCTGTGAAGGGGAGTCTGTTTGTGCACATGTGAATGCACATACAGCACCCTCCATAATTATTGGCACCCCTAGTCAAGATGTGTTCTTTAGCTTCTAGTAAATTCAGCTTTTTTCTAAATAATACAGGACCACAATGAAAAAAAAGAGGAAAATTCAACCTTTAATTTAAGTGCATTTATTCAATGTGAAAAAAATCCCACATTAAAAAATGATTATTTTACATCAAATCATGTGTGCCACAGTTATGAGCACCCTTGATGTTAATACTTTGTACAACCCCCTTTTGCTAACAATTCATTTGAGTTGAGTTAAAGGTTACATTTTTCTACCATCTTCAGTGTGAGAGTATGCTTCTGCAATAAAAACTGAATTTATTTTAAGGCTTTTAACACATCTTAACCAATAATTATGGAGGTCGCTGTATTTGTCGAATGGGAGGCCCTTTCAGATGACTTTTTAAAAAATTGAATGCTGGACACCACTCTGGAACATGAATGGCTCACTGCCTTTTTTTTTCTGAGCTCAGTAGGAAGCATTGCTGGGATACTTGTGTGTAAACCTGTCAGTTTGTCACCATGTAGTGTTGGAAATTGAGCTTCAGAAAGCTGTTGACAGACAGACCATATCAGAGCGTAAACATACATAGAAGTAGTGCTGGAGCGTTATCAGGCTTTTATTGCTCTTTATCTTTGGGGAAATCCGACTTGGTAGGATGGAGGTACTTAAAATCTACTAATATTTTTCTCACACATGCTTTATCTCAATATCTGTTTTTTTGTCTTTCATCATCTCACTCACTCTGTCACTTACAACATTTTTCCCTCCTCTCACACACAAACACTAAAGTAATCATGCTTGCGAGCACACATGCTTCACATCTACCCAAATCTCCATGATCCTCAGAAAGGGTTCCTTAAGCAGACACCATGGAGTATGCAGGGATGGAGGTCAGCGGTTTGTAACCGCAGTTGGGGAGGAATCGACGGGGTTGATTTAAGGGGCCTGAGAGGTGTGAGTGACACCCTCGCTGAGGCTCCCAGGGCCCTGCAGGATCAGTGCGTGTGGAGCCAGGCCAGCTCGCCACACAATGAGGGGAAATGGGAATTTAATACAAACTTTCTCACAAAGTCTCACAGACCTCCCGCCTCTGTTGCTGGTCTCACTCCCAGACACCCCCAGCTAGGCCATCACCACCTCCTCCGCGACAACCACAACAAAATGTCAGAAACCACTAAAACATGCCCAGGAGTGTGCTGCTGTAAATTTACTGCTTGACACAATCTAGGGGGCATTTCCCCACAATCTGTAAGCCGACCACAACCACTTTTCTGAATGGAGGTAAAGAAAATCGAAGCTTGAGAGTGGAACTGTTACGATAGACACAATGATAGACAAGAAGAGCTCAACTTTCTAATATGATTATGTGAAGAAATGGAAAATGTGGCTTTACAGGGACTGTCATGGCAAGTAGAGAATGTTGACTGAGTTATACAGCCCACTGTCACTACAGTTTAAGTCTGAATGAATGTGGGTTTATATGAAGTGATGCACTCATTTGCATCAACTTTAATTTAAAGATGCAGTCGGGTAAATGTAATTTTAATGCAAGAAGGCAGAACAATATGAAGAGCACATACACTTTTAAAATAAGCAGCAATTATATTCATTTCCTGCATGCCAGAGAAACAGCACATTGTCTTTATTGCTTTCTTCCTTCTTCAACCAACAAAATTTTCCTTTCAGTGTTTGTTGAACTGTCATTCTTTGGGAAGCAATATTGTGCTTTTTGAACTTGGCCAGAGGACACACTGTGCCATGTCTTTGTCTGCTAGTGTCATTAAGAAAGTGGCTGCTTTTAACAACAAACACGGTTTATAATTGCTGTGCAACAACAAAGACTTTTGGATACAATGGTTATATGTCTGAGGAGCACAGATAGACGCCTCCACCCTGCATGTTCACCCCGCCACAATCATTTCCTTCACACACACACACACACACACACACACACACACGCACACACACACACACACACACACACACACACGAGCACACATGCAGTTACATCACACATGCATGCTTACAATCTGCTGCTTCCCTCTCTCTCTCCTGTGTGCCATCACATATGGACACATATATTTATGCACAGACACACACACTCACACAAAAGCACACATGTCTGTTCTCTGGCTCCTGACAGACTTAATGCAGCCAGAGGCTGAAGCATCTGTGTTGACCCAGCCTTTAGTCTTTTCCCTTTTGGCTTCCTATAGAGACGCCATCATGCTGTGTCTGCAACACTTTTCTTTTTCTCTACTTCTGTCTTTGCTCCTCATTTGTCTCTCAAAACTCCATTACATTACATACATTACAAGGATGGCTAAATGATGCAAAACCTGCAACAATTATCAGGACAAAATCCTTAGAGGAAAATGCAAAAGTAGTTAGAAAGTTGCATATTGCTATGTTGTGACCCTTTGGCTTTACAGCGCACTGGACTGTGCTGCAGCCAGAGCTGAGCAGGTAGCAGTGAGTTCATGAGACAGTGCAGTATCATTGTTCTTAGCGGTAAGTCCATTCCTGTCAGTGGATATTTTTGAAGCGTGTGCAGAGGAAATAGCAAAGTCTTTTGAAAGATGTTGTTCTGGTGTCTGTGCTACACAGGTCGCACCAACAGGTCAAAGGAGTCTGAGCCAAGTTTGAGCATCGAGACTCTTCGTTTGCCAAGAGGTTAAATGGAAACATTCATTTTTAGACAAAATAGTTCCAACCTGGGTGGACGAATTTCAAAGTTTGGTTCAATTTCTTTTCATACCTTAACTAACTGAATGACCAGAACATCTCCTTCCCCTGATTATGGTTTATAGTTCTTGATCTCTGCACGATTTGACATTAAACCAAATAGTCTGACATTGTTTACTTTCTCAGATTGGACATCAATGTATCAACACGTTCCAGGCATTAGATTATTTTACTCCTTGTTTTTAGTGAAGCTCACAATAGAATGTGCCTTGCAGAATAAAGAAACCCATGTGAGCTCCCTAAATTGAAAACAGGAAATGTCAAACAATAAGAAGTTGTATCAACTTCAAGCCAATTGTCTGAAGCTGCAAGGAAACGTAAAGAAAACAGAAAATCAGTTTTTGCAGTTGTTTTTTTTCCAACTCGGACTGAGACAGTGCCACACTTTTGTAAAGATTGGAGCAGAAATAGACACAACAAGCATATTGTTCATCATTTCCTGAGGCTGACTGATTATGAGTTAAGGGGAAACTGACCATAAAGGCTGCAGGCACTGGAACCAACTCATCAAAGTGAAAGAACAAAGCTGTTGCATTTGGCAAAACTTGATACCAGCTGCTGCATTTGGTGTTCCACAATATCTCTACAACTAACATCAAGGGCAGAAATTAAAATGTCAGCAAGGGAGGACACACTAGGAGTAGCTAGTGTAAGTCTTAGCCACACACAACATAGATATAGGATATTTGCACATTATTTATCATGTAGTGGGTAAATGAAACGCATTTGCACATTTTCCAACAACACTAACTTTAAAATCATGCTGCCTCATGTTTTGCAAAATGAAAAAAGTGTGCAAAATGTTTTGTTTTTTTTAAAGAAAGAACAAAACTTGTCCTATATCAGTTTCCTTAGTACTAAATGTAATCAACTATAGCATATTAAAGTACCACAGTAGCGATAACCATACTGTCAACTTCCTTCTAAAACAGTAAACGTTCGCGAGACGTTTATTTTAATGCAAAGACAATTAATTCATGCATAGACAATGCAGTGCCACTAAGTTCTTGGCACTGTATTGGAACAAAAAGTGACAAAGTTTAAACTCATAAATACATTAATCGGATCGGGGAGGTCTGGAGCGCCAGCAGTCCTCCGCTGTCTGGTGACGCTCTTCCTTCCTTTCCCACCCAGAGAAAGCTTCCCGCAAGTTTGACTCTTTGCTTAGTGTGACAGTACTGAGATACCATCCCTTAAAGATACTTCGTTACTGGAGAGATTTTTCACCTGAACAGGAGCTCTGGAGGATTCGCCAAGTTATGCGTAAAAAAGCGCACCGTCGTGACGCAGCGTCACCGTTTTGGATGTAGAGCGCTCCCTGAAAAAAAAACCCGAGCTGGCAGTTGATTTATGAACACAATCTTGTCGCAATGAGGATTATAAATGTCATGAGGATTTTGTGGGTCTTTGTACTATGCTTCCTTTATTTATCAGGTAAGAGGAAACTTATTTTAAGGCTGTTTGGGCAGCTCTCAAACGGAGCAGATGTCGATATTTATTTTCCAGAAATGTGAGAAATTAAGAAAGATCAACATCTAATAACTAAAACCTACACTATATAGTTAAAACTGTCTTTAAAAAAACAGACATTTTATGTTTCGTAAAAGTCATAAACACCCTTGCAGTGTAGAGAGTAGATTTCTAAACCCTTGGGGAAAACGGAGCTCATCCATGTTTCCTCCTATTGTTCTGTGGCTCTTTGCCTTAAATACCAGGGAGAAGGAATGCTGGAGAAACTGACATTACTGGGTTTGGCACTTTTATTTGAATAACTACATTCTTTGAGGTTTTTCTGTTTGAACCAAAATCTCAGTCACTTTCTGGGGTATCAATATACAGAAGTCACAGAATCACTTCTATTATGAATACAAAATCAGAATATGTTGAAAACTGATACTTGTGATGCTTGTCCTGTCATTTGGCACTGGGTTTTATGTGTTCAAATGGACGAGGTGTATCAAAATAAGTCAGCCTGCTTCAGGTTTTGACATATGTTGACCGGAGCACATGACACAAAACTGTGCTGAAATCGGATACCTAAAAAACAGCACTAACACTTCACAGAAATGCTGAGAAGGATGTGATCAGGAATCAAATGAACAATGTTTCACTTGCAATGAAAACATTTGATCAATACCATCTATAGCCTTTCTATTTTTTGTTCTTGTGTGAATCACTTCACAGCAGATTGCATCAGTAAACAACAGCCTCACTTCTTGCTCAAAATATGAGGCAGCCCAAAGTAATCAAACATTTTCTGAAATAGATGTCCTCTCTGTTTTCATGTCTAATTAAGAGAAACAAATATCCGTGTGTTTTCATGACCCAACGGATCCACGCCAGGGTCTGTAGTGGTGTGATAACAAATGACCCACGACCCTTCCTCATCAGTCAGAGAATGACTAATGCTCTGTCCCACAGACGCCGTGATCGACTTGACCATGATCTCCACAGCCGCGGTCACCAACGTCAATCATTTCACCATCACCTGTATCAGTGGAGAGCGCAGCCCTGCCCAGGTCGAGCTGGACATCAAGAGAGACAACAAAATCCTTGTGTTTCCCAAGAAGCCAAATTTTAAAGTGCATAAGCCCAGGAACAAGGAAGCTGTGGCCAGAGACTTCCGTGATTTAGATAATATTGGTATCTTCTACTGTGAATCCACTCAGGAAGTCCCCCCACTTGAGATGATCACCATGATTAACAACTTTGGCAGAGGTGTGTTTAGACTTTATACAACCATTTTTCTTTTTTGTTCTTACTTTTCGTTAACCTGTTGACCTGCAGTTTTCTCATGCAACCAGTTGGGAGGGTTCGTCATCTTTAGAAAATAACATCTGTGTTCCTTACAGCTAATTTTATTCCAAATTACCTTACACTGACGGCTAACAGAGGAGAGACAGTTCACCTCAACATGGAGCTAATCAGCTCCCAAAAGAGAGATGTGACCTGGAAGTACAACGGTAAGGCAGCAAACACAACTCAAGACCACAATAACAGACCTTCCACGAATAATGAACATATAAACATTTATAGGCTTTCAAAGAAATGGAGCAAATTACAATAGAGACTGAAACTAAACCATTCGTGTTTTCACATGTATTGTGCAGGAAACTACTATTATATGACTCACTGGAACGATATGATCAATCGCACTGCTGTACTGACTGTGGAGGATGCAAAGTATGCCAATCAAGGCATCTACAGTGCCAGCTATGTTGGGGACAGCCCCCTCCAGGGTGCCTGGATGAGGCTCATTGTCAGAGGTTTGTTGAATCCTTACATTTACAGAATTACAAGCAAAAAAAACACACACACTCACTCAATTACATGCTCAGTGTCAAGCATCATTTTTTATGGCACAGATGTGTTAGGATTTGCATGTGTATTTGGCTGATCTTGCAAAATACAGGAGGAGATATGATAACGTGCACATTCTGCTAGAATTATTAATATCTGCGCGGTTCTTCAAGTCGCAAATATATTCTAGTTGCATCAAGGAAGGATGTGCTGGAAAGTGCTTTTGAAATACTAATCTCGGATTTGCAAAGTTACTCCGAACAAACGAATGAACTCTGCAAAATCAGTGATTAAAAACTAATCTCTGACTGAGTCACCGCTTCCAGCTCCAAAAAATAAGCACATTACCCTGTAAGACCACACATTGTCATTTATTTATTTATTTATTTTTGCACATCATTGTTTGTAGAGATTAAACAAGATACATCGTGTTGATTAATGAAGTTATACAGGACAGATGCTGGTAGATGGATTGTTCTGTCTTTTGGGTGGATCCAGCTAGCTACACATCTGTACATATCTCTACATCGGCATTTTTTGGCAAGTCATGACCAGCACATGTGTTTGTTTCATTTCCCGTATCTCAGTGTGCTAAAGAACAATTTGAGCTTGAACGCTATCTGCGCCCTCCACCTGCTCTGTTTTGATCTTCTTTTATTTCTCTCCACCAAATGCAATTTTTTTGTGTGCATTTCACTGTGATATTATGATTTAGCATGCATTTTTGCTCTATTCATGTTTTTTTTTATTTTTTTTTTATTCCTTCTGGTTATGGTTAAGGAACCATGTAATTTAAATTAGTCACATGTGATTGAAATCTGTTTTGAAGTAATGCACACTAAGTGAATGTATGCTGCTCTAACCAGAGAAAACTCTGTTCCTCTGTAGACTGTCCTAGTAAGAAGTGGGGTCCAAACTGTGGCAGGGACTGTCCAAATTGTCTCAACGGCGGAGTGTGTCATGACGTGGATGGAGACTGCATCTGTCCTCCAGGATTCATGGGAACACGCTGTGAGACAGGTTTGTACAGAACCCAGTGGAATGTCCTCACAAGTACAGTAGTATAGCTTTGTGTATATGTCTAAACAAGAGATGGACAGACAGAGGAGGAGATGGATGTGTATAAGCTCAATAAGATATCTGAATAAATTTGATTGTATACGTTTTGAACGGGAAGCCAGCGAAGTTGCCGGAGCACAGGAAGGGATTCTTGTAATGTTTCCGGCAGAGGATAGAATTGCAATTGTCAATGCATGATGCTATTAGATTTAAGCGATGGGTGAACGCAGTTGATATTGCATAGATGGAAGTATGCAGACCACAAGATAATGTGCCATCCAAGATGACATGCAGACTCTTCACCTGATGGAAGGCAGGGATTATGGAACCGTCAATAGTCAAAGAAAACTATCGGGTTTACCTTAAGAGATTTTGTAACGCTATTAAGTTTAAGAAAGTTGTAAGAGAAGCATGATTTAGTCTCCAGTAAATGGTCAGAAAAGGAAGAGTGCGGAAGAGTGGAATTAGGCTTAGTGAATAGATGGAAGTGGGTATCATCTGCAAAAAAAAGACAGTGAATACCTGATTTCCTGAAAACATGACTAATAATAAATAGGAGGGGGGCCCAAACCAGAGCCCTGAGGAACACTATTTGTCTCAAGAGAGGGCTAAGATTTCTAATTTTTTACTACAAACTGATTGCGACCAGGGAGACATGATCTAAAGCAAACATGAGAGATGCCAATCTGTCTAGGAGTTAGTTATATGTAATAAATTCTTTCAGTGTTTCAAATCAAAATACTAGCAGAAAGGTACATTAATATAAACAACACACCAATAATACTGGGTTAAATTGACCTGCTACCTAAACTATTAGGTCACCAAAATGTGATTATTTTGACCGTCTGTAGATGCAGCAAGTTTAAATTTTATTTAAGAACTATTCTGTATATTTTTTGTTACCTGCGTTAGTTAAAAAAAAAAGGAAAAAAAAAGATGTGCATGTGTCATTTGACACTGAAAAAGATATGCATATTATTATCATAGGTGCCAGCAGAGATAACAGTTGGCTAAATACACCAGTACTGGACCAAAACAATCAACTAGCTTAGGTTTATTTGGTTGCCCAGGAATTTTCTAAATGTCCATACTTAGCAAAGAAAACATATCATTTTCAGTGGTGTGTTGTCTTAAATTGGGCCTCTTTTGACTCAGTGATCTGTAGGAGTGGTCAGCTGTTAATATAATAAGCACTTAAGTAGCCCACATTACATCAACATTACTCTGTTCACTGCATTCAGGTAATAATTCTATCTGAACTACTCGCCTTCCTTACCATGGTACACTTTCGGGATCTGTTTGTACAGATTTTACAGCACTGTGCACTGCAAAAAAAACTAAGAAAACTAATGTTGTGTATGCAAATAATGCAATCAATACAATCATGGAACCAAATCAATGGGATCCAGATTAGTACATTGGCAGACTAGTTACACTGGTGTTTTGCAAGGTAGGCTGAGGCATGACACAGCAAAACTCGAGGAATTTAAATAAACACATTTGTGAATTTGTCTTTCTCTGATGGTTTGCAGCCTGCAGAGAAGGAATGTTTGGTCGAAACTGCCAGGAGTCCTGTGAGTCCTATGGCTCCGAGGCAAGGTGCAGGGGGCTTCGTTTCTGCCTACCAGACCCTTACGGCTGCTCATGTGCCAGCGGCTGGTTAGGGAGCCGCTGTGACAGTCGTGAGTAAAACAGTGCGTATCTGTTATTTGCTTGAAGGTTTCGTAACATGTTCTAATCAAGTTCGGTGCCTCTGTTTCCTGCTGCCAGCCTGTCATAATGACATGTATGGACCAGACTGCAGATTGAGCTGTGAATGTCAGAATGGAGGAGTCTGTAACCGTTTCAGTGGATGCCAGTGTCCCACAGGGTGGAGAGGGCAGAACTGTGAGAAGTCTGGTAAGTATCATCATCGGAATTGTTTTTGGTGTTTCTCCTCTTTGGTATATGCACTACACTGAAAAAATGTTGGACCTGCTTTAATAAAATGCTTTAATTGGAACATGCAACGGAATCAAGTTTATCCAATTTAAGCTAGCAAATAATATTAGTGCCACTGGTTCTTGTTTGATGTCCTGAAACCAGTTGATTCTTGTAATCTAATTTTAAGGAAAGTCAACTTGAAGTCTCTCCAACTGAAGTATTCAATATGCCCAAACATTAAAGGAAAAACATGATTTTTGTATCAAACTTTCCATCTTTTACTTTTCTTTCTTCTGCAGTCCTACTGGAAGAAGGAGCTGTAGCAGAAATAGTCTAATAAAAATATGGTGGTCATAAAATCAGATGCACGATGCTTAAAGGAGTAGTAAACCTATTTTTTTGTGAAATCCAAAAAACATTCTTGGGGACAAAGTGTAACTTCAAATCAATAGAATCCACAAAGGTGAACTAGCGTCACTGAAGCAGAAAGATAAGTGATGTTTAGTTTTACTGTGAAGTCGCACAACTTCAACCTTACTGTTGCACATATTTAAAATAACAGTGGTTCAACATTCATTGGTTTACTTGCACAACATGTAATCCCAATGTAATCCTTGAGCATGCAAGCATTTATCAAGTTTTGAAGCCTAAAAGACCCTCATGTCTGCAAGTTGTCAAGAGTGTGCCTTTCTTGTTTCTTCAACCACAAGTTAAACAAAAACATAATTAATGGTACACATGGTTGCAAAATCCGACTGGTGTTTTGATTTCAATAAAGGTTTTGAAATGAACTGCTGCTGCTCTGGTGTTCTCTCTCCTCACCACATCATTTCTCTTTCTGACTGTCTGTCTTGACTTTTCTTATTCGCTGTCGAATGCCTCTCCCCTCGTCAGACCGGGCTCCCCAGATTTTGGACTTGGACAGTAACTTGGAGTGGAATCTGAACTCCAGCCCCAAGATCTCGTGTTCAGCCACAGGAAACCCGCTGCCCAGTCACGACAGCATTGAGCTGCGAAAGCTGGACAGCACTGTGCTTAAGGTAAGTAAAACGAGCATTCTCGAGCAACAGCTGACTTACAGCAAACTCAAATAAAAATACACGCAATACATCAGTTGGATAAAATGCAAATCAACACAATCCGGCAGAGATGAAGTAAGCGGCCACATAGAAAGAGGGTGTTGTAGGATGTCATAGATAAAGAAGCAACATTCTTAAGCTCAGTGGTGTAAATTCAGTTTAGTGTGCCAGTTAAAAGAAGAGTTCAACATCTTGGTAAACACGTTTATCTGCTTTCTCGATGAGGATTAGAAAAGACGACTGACTCCCAGGAGGCAAATTATCTTACTTTGGCCTTTAAACTGCAAGTGAGAAGGGCAGCCAGACTTGCCCAGGCCAAAGTTTAAAAATACAGTACTGGCAACTCTAAAGCTGACAAAATAACATCTCTTCTATTTAATCCCACATGGAAGTGTAAAAAGGCAGAAAAAGTTGCGATATTACAAGAAGACCAGGCTGTCATGATTTCTTGATGGGCAACAGCTGAATAACTTTGCAACCAGCAGAGATGCAGGGTGGTGCTGGACAGATGGATAAACTGTCATGAAATAATTACACCACATAACTCCCTCTCCCCCGCATTGACTGATCACTTATTTCAGATTACAGATATAAAAAAAACCAAAACACACAAACAAAAAAGCACCACAATAATTACTTTTGACAGTGGTGTAAGCTAGCTGTTTCCATGTGTTTCCAGTCTTTATGCTAAGCTAAGCTAACTGCCCTCTGGTTCTCACCCTCAAACGTGACAGGGACTAATCTTCTCGTCTAAATATCTGTTTTCCCCCCAAATGTTTACCTGTTTCTTTTAATGTTTAAAAGTTAGATTTTTGGGGGGAAAAAAATCAAATACAACAAATACGTTTATGAACCATGCTGAAGGGTCAGTTATATAATCAAGTTGAATTAAACAATATCTTAAAGTCTGAACTGATGACTTCAAGGCTGAGTCAACTTCTGAGGAAGTCGGCAGCCCAGTGGCCTGACCAGATAAGCTTGTATCACTCCGCAGTGCAGCAGTTACCGTGCGTCGCCCATAAGCGATACGTTCAGGTTGTTATTGTTTCTGGGCTATTTCCTTGATAATAGAAGCAATCTGATAAAGAATTGTACCAGCACTTCCCACAGGAACACAGGAATTTCTCATAGTGAGGACATACTTTGGGAAAATGTAGGCACAGGATATGGAAATGCGGTTTTCACCATGTGTTGCATTGCTTCCCTACGTTACACATTCTACTCACAGGCCTCTCGTACCGTCATGGACTCCAATAAGAGCACAGCAACGTTTGAGCTCCCTCCTCTGACCCCTCAGCAAGGAGGATTGTGGGAGTGCAGGGTGTCCACCAACGGAGGCCAGGACTCCCGCAAGTTCAACCTCACTGTTAAAGGTTTGAGTGTGTGCTTTCTATTGAGTAACATTTTAAACTATGTACAGAGAGGAAATTATATTATTCCGTGACAGGCACCGGACAAACTGGTGTGTAAAATCATTTCCTGTGTCTACACAGAGCCCCCGGTGCCCACTTCTGCTCCCACACTGCTGGAAAAGAAGAGCAAGCAGCTGCGGGTGATGCCGGTTGTCTCCCACAGAGGAGACGGTCCCATCGTCTCCACCAGGCTCCTCTACAAGCCTGTGGGGAACGGAAACTCCTGGTCCTCCATCATAGGTACACAGGCAACAACGGAGTCATGTGGTCAGACGTTATCACATTAGGCAGCAGTCTCAGAAGATTGTTTTTGACTTTTACTTTATTGCACAGCAGCAGCAAAAGCATTGCAGTAAGCAGTTAATCACCATTATTTCAACATGCATTGAGTTCAGCCAAAGTTAAAACTTGTCAGCTGAAGCAAAGAGAATCATTAGGGCAATAAGTCATAGCTTAAATTCAAAATAAAACTAGCTCTTAATGGAAAAGCTAACCAAGAGAGATCAAAATAAATAAATCATATTTAGGAAAAGCTTCAAAACACAGCACAACTTTGCTATAACTAACTGCAGATCTTCTCCCACTCACTATGTAAACATTTAAAGAAATGTTTAGGTTCTGAATTATGTATGTATTATGTGTTCTAAAATCCTACTGTAAACCATAATTAAAATCAGGGGTAATCAGCCTTTTCCACATTAATTTGCTTCAGTTTATAGTGACAAAGAGCCCATCACACTGATGAACCTGGAGCCTTCAACGCGCTATCGTGTCCGTGTCCAGCTGAGCCGTCCTGGAGAACAAGGAGAGGGAGCCGAGGGGCCTGAGGCCATCATGGAGACCGACTGCCTGGGTAAGACCCACAGATAACTGTGCTGTCAAGCTCAACGAGAGACCACACAAACATTGGACATGAGAATATTTATCTGAAACAACTTGCCTGGGAACAAATGTCCATCGTCTGGACCACAGAAGTTGAGCAAGCTCAATTATCTTGAATCTGGTTAGAGTAAGAGTGAAGTGCTTTTCCCATGTCTAAAGAGGGCCGTTGTCTTTTCCCAGCGGTGTATCTGTCCTGATGACTCAAGTTGGGTGCAAATATAGAAACATGCCAGTGGACTGAAATGACCTGTGGTTGCTTCTTAGCTAAAATAAATTGAATACCCAATGGGATCGAGGCTGAAAGGGCAAAAAATAAATAAACCTGTCTTTGTCATCAGACAGGAATCACAAAAGCATTCAAGAATAGTAGCAACCTGTGTTCAAATTCAGAGGGATTTATTCCTCAATGACTGTGGTGCAGAGAGAGAGAGAGAGAGAGAGAGAG